ACAAGTCAAAATAAAACAAACTTTTTCTTCTATCATCTATAATAGCACTGGTTCTCCACAGGGTTGTGTTCTCTCACCCTTGCTGTACATCCTCTACACCAACGACCTTCGTACCCTGACTGAGAGCTGCATGGCAATCAAATACGCTGATGACACCGTCCTTGTCAGTTTAAACAATGGCGCCAATCCCTTAATAATTATTTAAATGATGTGACCTATTTTTCAAATTGGTGTAAGAACCATTTCCTTAAAATCAATCTAAAGAAAACATGTGAACTTATCATTGATTTTAGGAAGAAAAATAGGTCAGATCATGAACCACCGAATATTGATGGTGAACAGATTAAAGTACAAATATTTAGGTACTGTGATTGATGAAAAATATGAATGGTCCAGTAATACACTTAGACTGTACAAAAAGGCCAGCAACGACTTCATATGTTACGGCAACTTAGGAAATTTAATGTTCATAAAGAAATTCTAGAAATATTCTACCAATCAATGATACTCAGTGTGATTTCTTTCTGTCGGATTATATGGGAAGCTAGCTTATATGAAAAAGATAAGGGATTGTTGGCGAAGATCACTAACAGGGCGGGGCGTGCAATAGGAGTAGATTCTTCTAAGCTCAATTTTAAGTATAATGCAGGTGTTCTCTCCATGGTAAGACGCATACTTTCTCAAAATGATCATCCACTCTACAACAAATACAATTTTCTACCATCCCATATCTGTATTCGCTCTTTACCTAGTCGTACTAAACGCTATAACAAATCGTTTGTTCCACATTCTATTGTAATTTACAACGAATATGTTCAAAGATAATTTTTTCTACCCATGGAGAGAACACCTTGATCATATCATATCAATATCAATCTAATAAATAATTGTAAATTTTATTGTATTACCTAAAGTATTTATTTGAATTGTATATATTGAATTGTTTTTGCCGTTTAACATAATTTTTTCTATTTTAAATTGTAATTGAATTGTGTTTCTTAACCTTTTATATGTAATTGTATATTGAATTTCTTACCTTTTATTGCAGTGTATAAATGAAGAATTTCTGATGTATTTATTTTAAATATATTAGACCAATAAAGAATAAAGAAAGATTCATATCAGTTGATTAGTTTTTGAAATACTGTATCTTGTCTAGAACTTTTGCTTTAAAATCCTTTAATTGGTCCTCACACCCACACCCTACTCCGGGCCGTCACCAAAATTTAATCATTTCTTTATTGGGTTATACCTAACACTCCCTGTTAATTTTAATTATGTTTGTGCAGCCGTTTTGAGATAATTCGAACACACACACAAAAAACACACACACGCACAAACACGAAAATGTTACACACACACAAACTTACACGACTGAAAACATAATAATATCTCCTGGCGAAGAAAATAATAATAATAATAATAATAATAATAATAATAATAATAATAATAATAATAATAATAATAATAATAATAATAATAATAATAATAATAATAATAATAATAACCAACCAATGGAGATCACGAATAAGGGGAGATGTATGTGTACGTGACTTACAAGAAAAAATGAGTCTAGCTGTAGAATTTTTGAAGTTCTTGCAGGGTATATAAATCCTTTTTTAAAAGGCCACTGTACAGTCCGTGAATTGCAGTAGTTGGGTCTCGAAAGAACCAGTGTCCTAACAGCAGCATGGCAGGTATTACTATCTATGAACTTTCTGATTCTCCATAAGTTTCTTAGATGGAACTTAACAGCCCTGCTAACATTAGATAGGCTAAGACCTGCTGACTCAATAGTCACTCCAAGAGTGCGGACACTATTCGAGTTTTCTGCTAACAGAAAAAACAAGCATATTGAGCTATCAAACATAAGTATAAAATAAAAGCTAAGCGTAAAGTGGATTGTGAAGCCGAGCGATTTACCCAACGCCCGGAAATACCAATCACCTGATATCATTATACAGTAGTCGACACCTTATTATAAAAATTGCGACGTTCATCAAAAAATAAAATGTATGTTTCAGCCTAATCTTGCTATATTTCAAGCCTAAACAATAAGGACTACAGTACGTAAAGTTGATAGGAAAGCAGTACTACACCCAGCCAGCCATCGTACGTTTCCGGATTATATCTCGTTGAAACCAATGTTTTCTGACTAGAATCACTAACTACTATAAATCATGTCACTATACACTAGGGTCTTTGTAAAGCACCCGCCAATTTAAACTAACATATATCAAAATCACTAATCTGGTTATCACTAATCTGGTTTACCAACGTTTTAGAAAAGGTTGTCGTATTTACAGTGTAAAGTAATACAGTCTAAAATATTATACATTTCGAACTACGGCGGCTACATCACATATCAACAGGCTTAAACCTTTAACATGATATAAATCATATAAAATCAATTATCACCTCATGGTTCACATCCTTGTGGACAATCGATTAACTTGAGCAATCGCTTGCCAGCTAATGTACCGTAATTATTGATGTTACATTAACTATTCAATCTGTATTAGATAAAGTTAATGAGGCATTACATTTCGAGACAGCATTACAAAACCAACAGTTGTAAATTTTAGCTGAATATCACGAGTCTGTCACACAATCAAAATATATTCCTAGCTTGCAAATAACCTATAAAATTATTCAATGTATAGTGTGAGTTTGTCTACTACCTTCGTGATAATTTTCAACAATAAAATATTTCTCAGTGACATGATCGCTATCACCAGGCCCGACCTCATTGAACGTAATTAAAAAATAAACACAAAACAAGCTTTCTAAAAATTGTCAATAGGCATTACGTTAAGTACTTTTAGCATCGTGGTCACGCATCATTGCGTTATTAAGACCACGTTAGCGCGAGTGAGCCACCGTCTAAATGCTTAGTACTGTACTCCTAATAATAACTAGGCTGGTAGACTACAGTAACGCGGACCTGAACATCTCACAGGCTTAACTGAATGTTTTAGTCTAATTTTTGGATGTTTCTGATGTTCTTTAAATTTTTATTGTGTATCTAAATTTTTCTTTGATTTTTCTTTGATTTCCTCTTTCGCGGGTCCGTAATAACAGAGCGGTTGGTAGGTGGTTGTTGCCAATCTCTGTATGGTTTCTATTCTGGTTCATTTTCTTACGAGAATAATAACCGTTTCTTATTCGACGAGACTGTGCAAGTCACTTATCATGACAGTGTTCTCAACAGGCGCAGGGGCGGATCCACAGATGTCCAAAAGGAGGGGGGGGGGGCGAAAGTTGGGCCGATCGAGACAACACTGTCATAGGGGATGCAGGGGCATTATTTTTTTCCCATACAGTTCCGGCAGAAATTATAGAGGGCACTATTTAAGGTCATTTAGGTGAACTGATAACACGAATAACGCATGCCCGGGAGGCGATTTTTTTTCCTGTACGAAACATTTGCATGAAACTTCACTCGGGCCATCTCGGATTGACTCGAGTGAGTACGATACGAGGAATAAGAGCAGACACTTCGCAATGTCGTAACGCTCGAGTTTTACTATTATTGCTCTTTCTATGTTTACCTACGGCAGGCCTATGAAATTTCACGGACTTATGTGATGTACGTCACTGTGTAACTAACTGTGACCTTCTTGGATGTTATTAAATGTTAGTATATTATCTACAACAACAACAGCTAGTACCTCCTGTTATACAGTGTCGATAGGTACAGTTATACAAAAGGCTAGAGAGAAAGAGGATAAACTATAGGCCTAACTACAGGCTGAGGTCTTACCTAGGCCCCTCCTTAAACTAGGCCTAGGGTCAGGCTGACACAACAGTCACGCTTCACATACTGACATGGACTGAAATTTTTGGGAGAAATTGGGACAAAATTGAAGCATGAAATGAAAAATAGAGCGCATAAGAGAAATATTATTAAATAAATAATATACCATTCCGGCGTTATTGAACTTGTCCAAACTATCATTGTAATTAATGCTAAATAATTATAATAATAATAATTTCAGCATTAATTATCCTTGGCCTAAACCTTGTAATGAAGAACCTACAGATACTGTACTATTTACTAGGCCTATAAATAATAATCGCCCTGAGGGGAA